TAGCTGTAATCTGGCAAAAAACAGCTTTAACAAAGGCTCACACCAATAAAAGCTGACCAGCCACTGAGTTAAAACTTTTGAGCACTTGCACACTGTCCCCCTCTAGTGGACACCAGAAAAACATAAAAGACCTAACTTTTCTGCAAAGCACCAATGTGTACATAAACAATATAAGGCAATAACTAGACTACTTGAGTTGTAGAAAATAGCTGAATGGGGTGCACAAACATCTGCAATAAGACTGGTTATCAGAATGACAATGCTGGTCTATAGTTATCATTTTTTCCCCCACACCCATTAGTATGCAAACAAAGTAAGCTGAAAGAAGAGGCGGGGGATATCCAGTCAGAATGACAGAGGGGGAAAGCCTGCAGGGCAGAAAGAAACCTTCACCCACCAGCTCTTATTGCCCAGCAACCTCACCACCATACAGAGAATGTGTAGTGTTTTCTGCAGACTGCGTCTGCTTACTCTCACCAACAGAGGTAATTGCTTACAAATAAGAAGAAAACCAGCTGTGAAAAATTAATGTCAAGTGTTAAAACTGTGTTGTGTGCAATGAACGAGCAACAGGTCAGGAAGACAGTTAAAGATCATTTACATAAACTCTCACAAAATTCCTGAGAACTGATCCCTGTCTCTTAAAAATAACTCTCAAAAGTACTGTTAAACTATTTAACATCAATACTATACCTTCATGACAAAATATCACTATTAAGCATCTAGTCAGGTCAGCTTAGATCTAAATGTGATAGCAAGTGCAGCAAAATGCCTTGTGATCACAGTAAACAGATATGTTTTAATGTTCAAAGAATGCTTCAGAATTTGCATACCTTAAATAGTGTAGAGCAAAACTTTTGGATGTCGAAATAGTTTTCAGCACAACAGATCTGACTAAAATTAGAGCCAAGGGAGAGCAGTTTCCCGTCTTCACGTCAGACTCGAGGGTCATCATTAGTGGGCCATTTTCCCTCCAGATTCAAGTATGGTCAGCTTAGGGCTTAATCAAGTGGAAATTTGGAAAAAGGGGGGTCATGGGGGTGGTCAGGGTTGGGGTGCGGGACAGAATGGGGCAATTGTTCAGATAAAGGCCTCACGTTGAGTTAGCTTTCATGTCTCCCTGGGGGATGTGATGGGACTTTACAGTAGCATTTCACTCCCAGTAGTTTTTTGTTCACTCCTACAGAAAAGATGCAGCCATAAAAGGTAATGTTAAATTAACAATAATGTAATAAAGATAACTTGAAGAACATGGAAATACGGCAGGAACAGTTTCAAATAGAGGGAACATTTAGGATCCCTAAAATAGTTGATGTTTTTTGTGCTTGTTTGATGTCCCATAAAAAACATTTTTGAATTCTCAAAAAAAATCAGATGAGATGCTACGTTGGATAACTGTGTGAATAATCAAAACACTTAAAACCTTTAGAAAATATGAAGGTAGCCCCACTTTTGACCAAACCTTTATGCCAAGAACATTAAATACAACAACAGTAAGCATTAGACACATGATCCCTGCTCGTTCTATGATTTATAAGTGTTTCAGTGACTGCATTGATCACTGGTGTCGAGTTACAGTGTTCTGCTGCGTCAGGACCAGCTACCTTACTTTTGCCATGTCACTTTTGTCGTGTTTTATCTTTTTTTTAGGATTCAACTAACCATCTGGGAATTCAGTTTCAACACTGAGCCGGTTTCCCCAAGTTGTCAGATAATTATTGCCTGAGTTACTTCACTCAGTTACACTTTCAGTTTTAAGTATCGGGCCGAGATGAGTGCTGCCTCATCTGTGCAAACATCATAGTGTAACAGAAGATAAGGTAAATTTATTATTTTGTTGGTGCTACAATATTTGAGTTGCAGAGATTCTGTAGCAGTGGGCTTTATACATATGGCCTATGAAAGCTGTGCTGCTCATGTATGTTGAATTTTGTTTTGACATGTCCAAAAAGTCTTTGGCAGACTAAATTATGGTCAGATTATGTATGCTTAAGTGTCAGTAAGAAGATGTCAGAGCATTACTTTTCTATAGGGCATCATGTCTTGCTATGTCACTGAAAGGAAAGGCAGGAATCTAGCAGTTTGGCAGGAGGGGGACCTCAACCATTTGTGATCAAAGTACATGACTCAAAAGCACATACTTTGACTGACTTTTTTTATGTTAAAAATCAGACATAAGTTAGGACAGGATAAGACTGATCACTGTGAAAAGTGTTAAATGGCGTATCTAAATGTCAAACTATTATATTTTGCATCCATGAAAGAATCGCGTGTGGGTAAGGCACCAAAAATGGCTGCAGCCCAGAGGCCCACATCACCCTAAATCCGTCCTTGATCAAAATGTTGTTGCACACTCAACATTCCCAACACCAAAATGAGATTCCCTTCGGTTTTCCTCACAAACAGACAGACTCCCACTGATCTATTATGCACCAAAGTCTTTCTCATGCATGTCTTGAATGAAAGCCAGCGTATTGATGGGTTGAGGATAATCACGTTTTCCCTAGACAGGCTTAGTCTCACTAAACAGGCTGCAGCGAGGAACGAAGAAATGGGTGGGAGGCGAAAAACCTTCAAAATGAGAGAATGTCTTTGAGAATCTTAAACACAACCGTAAAAAGTGAATTTGATAAATGTAAAACTTGTCATAAACCTGCAATAGCGCTTAAAAGAGATGGTTAATGTAGATGGTTTAAAAAATATATAAAAACCTGACAGACTGGTTGCACACTTACCTTATTTATTACAGAGTTGTGTCCATCAGCAGGTGCATTTGGCACAATTCAGTGATGCCTCTAAATTCCACTGGAAAGTTTTTCACTTGTCTCGCATTCAATGAAAACTTCCGCACCTAAGTACGCTGAAAACTGTAATACAGCAAAATACGAGTGGTTCTAAAAGCCTTCTTGGTCACTTATGCTCACATTTTTTTAGTGGAATTTGGTTGTTAGTGCAGGTTCTCCTCCAAGCTGAATAAAGTGGATATTTGCATCAGAGTGATCCTCCCCTCGCCTTTCATAGCTGCCATTGTTAGTCACAGTCGGTGCTGGGATTCAGCCCCCCGCACTAAATCCCTCACTAACGGAGCGAGGGGCAGCTTTTATTCCCTGTATTCCCTGAACCCAGGCTGGCAATTACTAAAAGCCACAAAGAAACTATTATACCGACCCCTCCAAAAGAAAAAGAAAAAATCAACGTCTATACATTAGAACTGGTCAAGTTTAAATTATTTTTGCGTTGGCGCTGTTCTTTAAGTCTAGCTGTGTGGTCACATGCAACAGACATGTTCAATAGCAGCGACAGGAGGTGGCAACCTTCACTGCTGTAAATACCTGGAATAACTGCATGACATACTCACTGGTTCTATTTGCTGGGTAGATGGGAAATAGCAGTGGTGACAAATGCATCCCAAACTGAATGATAAAATTATAAAAATGATCTTATAATGTCTCATTTTGGTCTAATTGAATTTGGATAACAAAATTCATACTTGCACTGAAACAGTATCTATCCCCAACAGATGTTTTCTGCTTTTGCATTTTTGGTATACTTCCATGTTTCAGATCATTAAACATGTCTCAAAATCAGACAAAGATATTCTGAGTAAATACAGAATACAGTTTTACACCCCAGCTGCCATCCTTGTGATAACTGTTACAGTTATCCCTGTGCATCGCTGTGGGGAATTTTGGCCCACTCTTCTTTGCAGAATTATTTTAAATCAGGCATAATGGAGAGTTTTCAAGTCTTAATGGCCTTTTTTGGTCACACCATAGCATCTAATTTGAATTTAAGTCTAGGCTTTGACTAGGCCACTCTAAAATCTTCTTTTAGCCATTTAGGCATGGATTTATATCATATCAGTTACAGCAGGCAGCAGTCCTTGACCATTACACTTTCACCACCATGTGTGACTGTTAGTATGATGTTCTTTTTCTGAAACGTTTTGTTAATTTTGCGATAGACAGGATGCACGCCTTCCACAATGTCCCACTTTTGTCTCATCAGTCCATAGAACATTTTTACAAGTCACAACTAGATGTTTTTTTGAGGGGAAATGTAAAATGAGTCTTTGTGTGTTTTTTGGTCAGCAGTGGTTTAAGCCTTTAAAATTTCCCATCGTCTAGAACAAACTAATGTCATTGACGCATCCTTCTGATATTTACATTATAACGAATTGTATATTTACTTTAACCATCTTATTTTTCATTTAATTATGTGAAAGAGGTTCAGTGAAGGCTGATCAAAACAGAAAATCTTACTCAAGGGCCATCTTAAGACAGGTGTCATTGCATAGTTCAAAATGGTGGCTTGTGAAGTATGGCGATGCTCTTTTTCAGCCTCTTCTCTAACCAAACTGGGTCATAAGTTCTTGAACTCTTGTTTGGTTAAAACTCCCAGTTTCTATCAACGCCTCAAAGATGATACAGTTGATTTTACAGTGTACAAATAAAACTGTTGATGTTTACGGTAATTTCCCTTATTTCGCAGACTGGTGTTAGTTTTCTGATTTACTTTTTATGTGTCATGAGATTCCTTGAATAAAAAGCTTCATTACAGTTGCAAATGAACCTTGAGGTTGTTTAGTTGACAATAAACCAAACATTCTGGATTTGTTTGAGACAGGCCAATGGGTGAGGGCAAAGCATTTAGCTGTTGCTCAGTGACTGTGTGTTTTTTTTTATTCTCCTTTAAAATGAAAACTGGTGCTATCCTGTTTACAGGCATTTACGTCAGCAGATTTTATAATGGGGAAGACTGCAAGACAGAAAACTGTATCTGGTCAGAACATATCCAATAATTTGAGGAGTTGACGGGGCCTTCATAAATCATCTAAAATAAAGAAAAAAAAACTTTGACTTGGATTCAATAACAGTACAAACTAGGGCCAGTTTCAGATTTATTTTAGACAAAATTTGATTGTTCTACTACAGCTCTACATTAAATGAGAGGTAATTCCAATTAATTGCAATAGGTCATAGACATTGTGATTAAATTAGGACTGCACAGTGGTGCAGTTGGTAGCACTGTTGCTTTGCAGCAAGAAAGTGCTGGGTTTGACTCCCAGACAGTGGTCTTTCTGCATGATTCTCCCTGTGCATGCATGGGTTCTCTCCGTGTACTGCAGCTCCCTCCCACAGTCCAAAAACAAGAAACAAGGAAAATGCCAACCAAGGACACATTGATATTTTGCAGGAAGGGTTAGGATTGGACTGCAAAGGACAGAGGCGCACTAAAACATTGTAAGAAATAGAAATAGGATTGTCCATTAAGCAAAAGGTGAACGAAATCATGCATAGAAATAAATAAATCAAATACCTGCCTGGAAAGAAAAAAGAATGAACTATATATAATGTTTATTAAAATATATAAAAGACAAAATACATATGTGCATAATTATATCCATGAGGAAATATGCATATAGAGTATAATTATTATACAGCAAAATGTGTTTACATATATAGATTTTTTATACATACAGGAAGATACTTTTGCATTAAAACTGGCAGTGGTGATTCCCCCCCCCCCCCCACACACACACAAATAAACCCTAACAGGAAGCCCTCAGGCCCACAGCACCGGTCCCATGAAAGTGGGGCCTCTGTGTGAAGCTCGAGAGCAGCAGCACCTTTACACCTGAGATCTGCATTTGTGGTAACGTTTCACACAGAACAACAACTATTCGAACATACACTGTAGCTTTATAGGACTCTGATTGAGGAAAATTAGTGATATGACAGAAGTTATATGATATTCTTCTTTACTGGATCCCTTAATAAATGTGTGGAAGGAGTGTTTCAAGTAGAAAATCTAGAGAAAATACTGAAAAACTGTGCCACATAAGCTTTTTAATCAAACACCAACATCCTGCTAAGCAGATAACGTTTACCATCAGACAATTTGTCTGCTCTGTACAGCATTTCTCAGGATATATCTGTATATCAGGAGGATTCGAAGATCCTAGATGGAGTGTGAGGCATTTCCATTAGATTAGTCCTTCAGAATAGCGTGGTTGGTCCTGTAATGGTTTTAGTCACTCATATATACAGGGGTTGGACAATGAAACTGAAACACCTGTCATTTTAGTGTGGGAGGTTTCATGGCTAAATTGGACCAGCCTGGTAGCCAGTCTTCATTGATTGCACATTGCACCAGTAAGAGCA